TTATTTTTGCTTTTCTACAATCGACATAGATTACTGTGCAAAATTATTTTAGAGGGGTTTTTTTTAGAAAGAAAGGTAAGAGATATGTCCCTCAGAAAAGGAGAATGTGAAAGATTGGCGGTAGAAGAGAAGGGAGGTCTGAGGGAGAAAGGAGTGAGGAGGATTTAGCATCTCCATAGGGTGTTGGTTAAGAATGGAAATCCTGAAATTAAACTGCATGGCTCTGAATCCTGGTTCTTCCACTATTAACTGTTTGATACTGGACATGCTGTGCGATACCTCTGTTCCTGCAGCTTCCTCACTTCATAAAGTGGTGCTACTATATTATCTCCCTCACAGATTTATTATGAGGATTTAGTGTATTAATTTTGTAAAGCACTTAAAACAGCACCAGCCTATATTAAATACTTCATAAATGCTAATTATCATTATCCAGGAGAAGAAAAAATTAACATTCTAAGAAAGACAAGATAAGGAAAGAGTCATCTCAAACAGACTGAGAACAGGAGACAAAATCTATTTTTAGGTATATAGTGGACAGTAAGATGAGGGTGAGAACCAGATGGGGAAGACTTTCCATTTCAGCACTGAGTGAATTAGAAGGGAAGTGCAAACTGCTTTTATATCTTGGGCCAAGCTGTGTTGTCTCCCAAACGTCAACGAATGGAAATAGAGCAGGATACCATATTACATGAGGTCTAAAGAGCTTGGGATAGCTGGGGTGAAGTGAGGCTCATTGTGGTTTGCATTTACATTCCCCTAATGATTAATGATGTTAGCATTTTTTTATATATTAATAATTATTGGCCATTTGTATATCTTCTTTTGAGAAATGTCTATTAGGACCTTTTACCCATTTTGAAGTCAGTTTATTATTTTTTTGCTATTGAATTGTTTTAGTACTGTAGGGAGAAAGGAGATGAAGAGAGATTGGTCAATGGGTACAAAATTACAGTTGGACAGGAGGGATAAAATCTGGTGTCCTATTGTACAGTAGAGTTCCTATAGTTAAAAATACTGTATATTTCAAAATAACCAGCAGGAAGGATTTTGATTATTCTCATCACAAGGAAATGATAAATATTTGAGGCACTTGATATGCTAAATACCAAAATTCAATCATTGCACAATGTATACATGTATGGAAAATTACACTGTACCCTATAGTTTGTGATATTTAGAATCATTTGGCACTTTGGGGAGTGCTTTTCTCTTGGAAAGGGATTTGAGCATTGTTGATGAAGGTATCAGATCCTGTAGCACTCCTTGTTTTTTCTCTCTATTCTTGTTGGAATGAAGAGAAGTAATTAAAACTTTTGGCTTTCTCAAGACTGTAACCCTAGAGTGATGATTATAGCTTCTAGACAACATGGTTGTGATAGTTATAAAAACTTTGTTGTGTTATTTAATCCCTGCAATTGGCTAGGTCTCTCTCTCTCTCTCTCTCTCTCTCTCTCTCTCTCTCTCTCTCTCTCTCTCTCTTTCTCTTTCTCTCTCTCTCTCTCTCTCTCTCTTTTTAGTGGGAAACTTTCCTTTATTTAAAAAGGAAATTTAGCCAGGCAGGGTGGCTCATGCCTGTAATCCTAGCACTTTAGGAAGCTGAGGCAGGAGGAGTACTTGAGGTCAGGAGTTCTAGGCCAGCCTGAGCCAGAGCTATACCCCGTCCCTACTAAAAATAATTAGCCTGGCATCATGGCATGGGCCTATAGTCCCAGCTACTCAGGAAGCTGGGACTGAGGCAGGAAGATCACTTGAGCCCAGGAGTATGAAGTTACAGTGAGCTATAGAGCTGTGGTGACGCCACTGCATTTCAAGCCTGGACAACAGAGCAAGACACTAAGGAAAGGGTGCTGGGGGGTGGGGGGGGGAATATGAGACCAGACCAGAGGAGGAAGAGGAGATGAGACCAGATGAGGAAGAGAGGACAAGGAAGAGGAGACTAGACTGGATGAGGAAGAGGAGACCAGACTGGATGAGGAAGAGGAAACCAAATCAGAGGAGGAAGAGAAGACCAGATTGGAGGAGGAAGAGGAGACCAGACCAGACAAGGAAGAGTAGACCAGACTGGAACAGGAGACGAGATCCAACCAGGAAGAGGAGACCAAACCAGAAGAGAAGACAAGAATGAACAAGGAAGAGAAGATCAGACGGGACGAGAAAAAGGAGATGAGGATTTTGGAGTATTTCTGTAAACAAATTTACTTCATACAAAGGGTCATAAAGAATAAACAGTGAATTCCTTTAATAATAATGGTGTTAAAGGAGAACACTAAATATGGCATGGCAGATTTATACAGTTATATTTCCAGGTTTATCATTTGATCTACAGTATATTTGAATCTATTTACCGTTAGAGTCCTACTGAGCCAACTTGCTTGGCTCCAACTGTGAAAATACTATAATAATTCGAATTGAATATTCTTAGTAGTAAACATGTTAACCTCTTTGTTCCTAAAACCAAGAGACAATACCACTAATTGAAGTGTAAAACGATATAAAGAATTTACAAAGTATAGACACTTATACGATCTGATAGCAAAAAATAAAGAGCAGTGCATTTGGGGGCTGCAGGTTTTTTTTCTTTTTAACATAAATGACCTCTCTTCCTTCTTCTTATCAGGCTTAAGAAAGGTTCTATCTTGAGAGCCAACAAAGTAATAACAGCCTCTCCTACTCCTTCTCTGTATAAACTTTTAAGGTATAAAGTATTGGCAAGCATCAAAGGAATATAAAGATAAATAAGACAGACAAACAATCCAAGAGAAATAAAAACCACATAAAACTTGAATCTATTATTTATGCTCTTTTGTTGCTCTTTTTTCAAACTATTTAACACTAGGAAGCAATGTCAACTACATGCATGGAGGAGATGAGGTCACATGTAGAGTGCAGCTGAGAGCATCTTACCAACAAGGCCAACTGCTATTTGTGGTTTTACATTTGTCTATGTATGACCTCTGGTTCAGAATGGGACACTCCAACCCTGATGGCCTTACCCTTATGTTTCAGGGTAGCCAAGAGCTTGCCTTCTGTTCACCTTGCTCACAGCTGTTCTTACTCGAGTCCAAATCTCTGGTGAGTTCCCAACTGCATTTATCTAGGCTTTTATCTAGGCCATTTATCAGACCTTCAACTTTTGAATCTTTGCAGCAGCAAGGCAAATGAAGTTAACATAATTTACTTCTTGTGGTCTCATACTGCCATAGTTAATGATGGAATCTAAGAAGTTAGTATGTTGTCTGTAATGTACCCATGACTCTCATATTTGAAGAAAAGCCTGTACTTTGATTTGCTAGACATAACAGAATTTTGAGGACATTTACAACTAACCAACCAATACCTATATAATACAGACTTTAAAATTCACACCCGCATGTGCTTCTAATGTTTTTACAATCAACATGTACTATTTTGAGGACATTTACAACTAACCTACCAATACCTATATAATACAGACTTTAAAATTCACACCCGCATGTGCTTCTAATGTTTTTACAATCAACATGTACTATTTTATGTACAAAGAACATTTTTTTTAAAAAGTTCACATCAATTAACTCTGCTACACTTACCTACCCAGATAGTTCTGACAGTCCTGAACCTAAAAAGAACTGGTATCATTTCTTCTAAAGGCAAGGAAATTAATTCCACATAGCTAAAGTGTATTATATATACTAAGAATAACAGAAGTTAACTTTTATTGAACATTAATATGTATCACAGACTGAACCCTCACAACTCTATTAGATATACCCTTTTCCTCATTTTACATTTAAGAAAACTGGGACACAAAGTTAAGTAACCTGCCCTCAAGTCCCCATAGCTAGACAATGCAGAAGTGGATTTCAACCCAGATTGTTTAACTCCAAAGCCCAAGTTATAGATTTAACTACATTTCTACCCTTGACCCCTGCAAAGCTGCAACAAACAAATGAAAAACACAAATGAATAAACAAATAACAAATGAACAAACACCTTAGAAGTCACAATAATTGAGAAAAGGCAAAATTTGAAATTGCAACTCTACGGGGCGTAGCATTTGTTCAATGAATGAATTAAATACATGAGACATAAACTCACTCATGTCTTGGCCAAAAAAATTGGTGGGGGGAAGGCAAGAGGAACAATGAAACCTACAATTTCATAGTGCAAACCTCCATTATTCTAAGCAACAACATTGACGAAATCTTGCCTACAATCACTTCACCAATCAAGAGAAGCAACAACAGACATCAATGCCTACCACCTAACTTCAACACACAACAAAAAAGAATTCCTAAAACCAGCTCTGGTAGAGCCAAAAAAACACTAAGCTTAGAAATGAGAGCATGTGACTTTAGTGTACTCGCTAGTTGTGTGATCTTCAGCAAGTCACTTTTCCCTTCTGGGTCTAGATTACGTCAATTGCAGAGTCAAGGGTTTTAACTAAATTAAGGTGTAACTTTCAGCTCTAAGAATATGTGAAACTTTGAGGAAGGAAAGCTCCTGCAAAACTTGGAAAGCCTCGTGGATACATTTCAAACACCGTGAACTATGGGTTCTTTAACTAGAATGTACACTTCTAAGCCGCCACAAGCCGTGGCTGGAAAGCAGAGACGGGCTTCCAAGCCCTTGGGACCCAGAGAGCAAGGTCAAGTCCGGCTTTCCAGTAGCTCTCAAGGGCTGCTGCATTAACCTCTGCGTGCACTGTGAGCCAAGTCAGTATTCCTTCTGGGGGCAGAAGCAGCGGCGGCGGAAGGGAAAATCACTATTCCGGGTCATCAGAAACATTAGTCCAGACGCCTCGGGTGACCGAATGGGGCTCAGAGACTGCAAGCGCCTTGCCCCGTGTTACACAGCAGTCAGCAGCTAGGTCGGGACTAGAACCCCGATCTTCCGGCTCCCCGCGGAGCGAACGCTCCTTCCACGCTCAGCGGAACGGCAGGAAGCACAGGCGGCGGCGCGCGGGGGGCCGGCCGCGAGCGCAGGGGCGGCGGGACAGCGCGGGCGCCCCAGGTTACCTGCGTCGGCCCCGGCGTGCAGCAGTCGAACCTCCGGCCGCTGCCTGTCGCCGCCCGGCCGGCCCGGCAGCACCTGCCGCAGGAGCAGCCGCACTCGCCGGGAGGCCGCGCCGCCGTGGTCGCCGGATGCCCGGAGGAGAAGGAGCCGGGATTGCATGAGGCCGGGGGCACCGCCGGGACGTCCCGGCTAGGGGGTCGGGGCGAGCTGCGAGCCGGGCCGGCAGCGTGAGGCGGCGGGGTCGGGAGGACAGGAAGCGGCGCTGGGCCGAGTCCGCCGGAAACTCCTTCCCCCGGCGCGGCCGGCTCCGCGGTCTTGGCCCCGCTCCGCGGGGGAAGTAACGTGGGGCGACGGCGGCGGAGAGGGGAGGTCGGGAGGGCCTGGGCGCAGCCATTTTGGCCCGCGCCAGCCCCTGACCACCCTGACCGAGAAAGTCGCCAGCGCAGGGCCACTCGAGGGTGGACAAATTGTACTAAGCCGCACGCCTTACGAACCGCGCTTTCCTTTCTGTGACAGCAGTTTATGATCATGCTGTATGGCCTAACCTCAAGACAATGCTGGCCACCAGCAGGGTTTTTGAACATTTAAAAAACGTTACCACTGCCCCATCGGGGGTCCCCTTCCTGCTCTGGTAAAGGCCCCTCCTCTGTGGAGTAGGATCTATTGTCTATCTCCCAATAAACTTTCTGTCGCTAGTTGGCTTACTGTCAAAGTCTTTCCAGCTCGAAGCCAAGAGCCCACTAGACGCATTCAGGGGGCCTTCCCCCCTTCATTGGGCGCTCCCTGCATCAGAAGGAGCCTGCAGCCGCCCAGCCCAGAGAGCAGGCGCGGGCCGGCTGGGCTGCAGCTCCGGGCCCCACTCGCCTCGCCACCCCCGTGCCTGTTCACCCGGATTCACTGGGCCTGCATCCCTCCTGCCCCTATAGTCCCATAAACTCTCAGTTCAGAAGATGCCAAAGGGTTTTAGTAACATTTGTCGGTGAGGCTCTTCAGATACTTGCGCTAAATCTTTTCTTAGTCAGTTTTGTTATAGTGCGTTTTCCCTGAATGCTGCTTCAAATCCTTTTCCAAAAATTCAAAAAATATGCACGAGATTATGGGAACTTTCGCCTATCTTGATTCATTGTAACCACACCAGTGTTTCAGTAGCACATTTGAAAGCCTTACCCTTTGTCTTTTTTGTGACGCTTGTTTCTTTGTTTTATTGCCACTTCCTAAATTCTAAGTGGAAAATTCACATCTTAATAATCTATACAAATTGCTCAACATCAGAAAGGACACAAATCAAGCATTTTTTCAGTCATACTGTAATACAAGAGTTATATAAACATAATTTATGTCTTTAGTAAGAGAAAAGTAGGACACTGGCTAAGGCTGACTCCTTTCATACATTCCAAAAGCGGAAGGGGTTGTACCACAAAGCAAACTAAGCCTAATATAATTAGACTCATCCTCAAAATGTCAGAAGTGAATTGACAAAGGCAAAAAGTTTGAATCGAGTTATACAAAATAAACATCAAAGAATGCAGAAGGCCTCACTTTGAGCAAAAGGCCTTGCTAATTCTAGAGCTGCCACTGTCTTTAAATATATATTGAGCACCTACCAGGTGCATGACCCTGTGATAGGTTCTGAGAAGAAAATGATAGAGAGGAAGGAGGCTATAAAAGAGAAACAAGGCTAGGTGAGGAAGGCTTTGTACATCTTGCTGAAGGGCTTGGACGTGAGGAATGAAGGCTGAAACAGGCCTCTAGCCTAGTTGGGGAGATAGTGAAAATAAAGGTAACAAATATTTACATAATGTGTTACAACAATGGTTTCATCTGTATCTTCTCATTTAATCCTCGCAGCAACCCTATGAGGCTGTTGGGAGAAATGACATAAATTCAGGATGTAAGCTTATAAAATACTTTTCCCACTTTGAACACATACTATGTTCCAGGCATTGTGCTAAACACTTTAATGATTTATCTCATTTCACACAACAATGCTTTGATGGAGGTGCTATTATTATCTTCCATTTGACAGATAAAGAAACTGAGGCTGGAAGAATTAAATACATCAATGCATTTCCATTTAATCTCACGGGGAAACTCAGTACACACCTGAAAGAATGGAAGAACAATCTAAGGCAATTTAGCAAAATGACTGATATAAGCACTAAGAGCTTTTGGAGTTAAGAAAATAGGGAGATCAGTACGGGTTAGAACACTCATTGAGCAACTGCTGTACAACTAGTACTCTGTTAGGTACTGTGATGCAATGGGCACGGGTCAAGTATAGAAGACAAACATACAAAGAAAGAATTACAATGCAGTGTGACATGTGTAGATTTTGGCTCAAGGTACTCTGGGGTAGAGTGCTACACCTGGGAGGGTTCAGTGAGCCTTCACAGAGATAATAATGTTTGAAATGGTTCTCGAAGGATGTGCAGGAATTTGTCAGGCTGAGAAAAGGGCAAGTAAAATCTGGCAGAAGGAAGATCACATACATAGACAGAGAGAGCTGAAAGTACCTGGCACGACTAAGAATCAGAGAGTGATTCAGTGTGTCTAGAGATTGAGTACATAAAACAGTTTGTAGGCCAGGCGCGGTGGCTCACACCTGTAATCCTAGCACTCTGGGAGGCCAAGGTGGGCAGATTGCTTGAGGTCAGAAGTTCGAAACCAGCCTGAGCAAGAGTGAGACCCCCGTCTCTACTATAAATAGAAAGAAATTAAGTGACCAACTAATATACATAGAAAAAATTAGCCAGGCATGGTAGCACATGCCTGTAGTCCCAGCTACTCGGAAGGCTGAGGCAGCAGGATTGCTTGAGCCCAGGAGTTTGAGGTTGCTGTGAGCTAGGCTGACGCCTCAGCACTCATCCTAGCCTGGGCAATAAAGCGAGACTCTGTATCAAAAAGAAAGAGAGAGAGAAAGAGAGAAAGAAAAAAAGAGAGAAAGAGAGAAAGAAAAGAAAGAGAGAAAGAAAAGAAAGAAAGAAAGAAAGAAAGAAAGAAAGAAAGAAAGAAAGAAAGAAAGAAAGAAAGAAAGAAAGAAAGAAAAAAAGAAAGAAAACAGTTTGTAGGGATAAGACCAGAAAGAGAAATTGGGGCCATATTGTATGCCAAAAGAAGGAGTTTGCATATTAACCTCCAGAAAATAGAAAAATGGTGAAGAGTTTTTAGAATGACAAATCTACAATGTGGAAGAAACATTTGAGCCAGGAAAAGGTAGCACTTGAGCTTCACTTTGAATGATAGTTTGCATTTGGATAAACACAGAAGAGGAATATAGAGGATGAATGAAGCCTTGGAGTGCTGACGAGCATAGTTAATTTATAGGAGCAGTGAGACCAGCCAGGTGAGGTGGGTAATCTTTGAGAAGTAGTAGATGTTGTCAGAGGGGGAGGAAAAGATTATAAAGTGAAGAATCTTGAATGGCCGGGTGAAGAAGTTGCACTTTATTTTAGAGGCATATTGGACAGCCACTGGACATTTTGATCATGACACTTTAGGTGGTAACATGTACTATGACTTGAGTTAGAAAGACAGAAAGCATCAAGTGCTAGTTACATGGAAGTAAAATTAGCCTCTGCTTGCAATGGTGAACCCCTGCTGGTGGCAGTGAGGCTGAATAGGTAATAATGGACCTTAGCAATGTTTTTAAAGATGAATCAAAGGCGTTTGGTCCATTACAACCTCATTAAAACCTCTCTCAAAGTCTCACTAAAATATCTAATCACATATGCTTTTAAACTCCTATACTACCAAAAGCTGGTATTGAAGGTCAAACTTTTTCCAGCATCTGGGAGGAATATTTTTTACCTACCACATTAATGTAACTTGATGGAAAATGCAATTAATAATGCATTCATACTATGTTCAACTGAAAGAAGGTAGGTACCCCATTCCTTTCCATAAAGAATGACGAATCAGAATGGAATTGGAGTTTCAAAGTCATAACTAGCAAATTGGTAAGAGAAGAAGACAATATAACCCCAGGTGCTTGTTTAAGGGTTTATAATAAATATGCCAATAATATAATTTCTTATTTGACTTTTACACTGTTAGAATATGTACATTTATTGAATTTTGAATACATAAATGGCATCTTTTCCTATAGATTTATTTATTTATGGGTATATTACAGCAAGATGTATATTTGCTATACATTACAGTTGCCCCCAGGGAGAAATTTGCTCTTGCTATAGCAATAGCAGAAACCAGAAGATAATGAAGTAATGCCTTCAAGATTCTGAAAGAAAATTATTTCCAGGCCTGGTGCAGTGGCTCACACCTGTAATCCTAGCACTTTGGGAGGCCTGTTATCAAACGTTTGGCACTTGCCCCCGAGGCTGCATCAGAAGAATGACAACAAGTGGTTTGAGGAGAAGGAAAAGGGAGTTTATTAATTTGCCTGCAAATGAGGTTGGCAGACTCTTGACTAAAAGTACCAACATCCTGCCTCTGAGCAGAAGTACAGAGCTTTTAAAGGTTCTGATTAATCCCATAATCCCATGTTTGGGTAAAACAATCTCATAACCTCTGCCTGGACAATTCCTTGGAGCTATTTCCAGTGTCACAAAGAACAAAGGACACTCTCTTGCCCTTCCTGACCACTGGCCTGAGGCAGGGATGTAGGTTTTAATTCTCAAAAAAGGTGAGGGGGTTTTGAAGAGGCAGAAAACATTTTACCCTTTTACAGGCCAGTTTCTCTGTTACAGGCCAAGGTCACTTGAGGCCAGGAGTTCAAGGCCAACAAGACAAGACTCCGTCTCAAAAAAAAAAATTATTATTTCCAAGAATTATATACTCAGCCAAACTACTAATTAAGAGTGAGAGTAGGCTGGGTGCGGTGGCTCACGCCTGTAATCCTAGCACTCTGGGAGGCCGAGGTGGGTGGATTGCTTGAGGTCAGGAGTTCAAAACCAGCCTGAGCAAGAGTGAGACCCCGTCTCTACTATAAATAGAAAGAAATTAATTGGCCAACTAATATATATATGGAAAAAATTAGCCGGGCATGGTGGTGCATGCCTGTAGTCCCAGCTACTTGGGAGGCTGAGGCAGAAGGATTGCTTGAGCCCAGGAGTTTGAGGTTGCTGTGAGCTAGGCTGATGCCATGGCACTCACTCTAGCTTGGGCAACAAAGTGAGACTCTGTCTCAAAAAAAAAAAAAAAAAAGAGTGAGAGTAGAAGAGACACTTTTTCAAACATGCAAAGTTTCAAAAATAATTTATTTCCCATATTTTTCAGGAAGAAAAGAAATAAGCCAAGAAGGAGAAAGATAGGGAGCCTTGGAAAAT